AATCTCTACCAGTGGTTGGTTTGGTGGTGTTCAGCTATAGACCTTGCTGGCTGCCCATGCCTGGATGGGGTGGGATAGAGAGAGTAGGAAAATGCGGGCACAACCCCTGAGCTTGGCTTGTCCGTGACTTGCACTGTCACCGGAGAGATGGGGACGTGAATAACCTGAGTCTAGCTCTCTTTGGGACATAATCTAGTTGCCTTCTGAAGGACTGTCACGTTGTTCTTGGGATGGTGTTTACAAAAAAAAAAAGAGTGATTGGAAAGTGTTCCCATGGTTTTTGTCATGGATGAATCCAGACAGGGCCAAAAATAAAAGAGGAAATACATAATGCCACACGGATCCAGTGTCCCTGGGGATGGTTCAGGCAGGATGATGATGCCAACAGGGAATAATCCCAAAATGGGCACGTGGATTTGAGAATGAATACCTGTTCTTCTGTGCTGTCATCACCCTCCTAAATACCAGTTGGATTCCTCTTTTTTTTTCTGGTTTTAACCATGTTGTCACTTTCAGGTGAAGAGTGTGGCCTTGTGAAATGACTTTTGCATATTTGTAAGGTAAAAGTCTTTCTTAATGGAGTAAGTAGGATTAAAATAAAATAAACCCTGCATTTTTCACAGGAGCGCAACAGAAAATGTCACGAGATTAAGTCAAACCCTGGCGACTAGCTAAACACAACTTAAAATAGCTCGACGTTTAAAGAATTTTTTCTTTTTATCTGCTGACCCCGTAGCTCACTGTTGGGTAGTAGCGTCAGCTGGATGTGTGAAAGCTGCTGCAGTTTGGAAGTGAACCTTAATGATTTGAGTTTATTGTTGTGACAAGGAGAGCTCCTGCTGTATGCTGGGTGAATGGAAAGCAAACGTGTGACGTGTAGTCATCTCTTGCCCTGTATGACAACGTCACTCTAACGTGTTTTATTTATTCATTTCCCACTGATAAATGATACAGATGCACCCCTGGCGCGTGGGGAAGGGAAGACAGGTAGCCCTCGCTCTGCAGAAGGTCAAGGTTAATGCTACCTCCAGCGTTATAATGACAGATGGGAGGCAGAAACCTTAATATACTTGTGATTAGCATATGGTTTACTTGGCTGAGCGTCCGAAGGGTTTAAGAAGCCCGGCTTCGCTCTTCGGAGCGTACACGTTTTCAAACAAATAAATAAAAAGTGTGTATGGTTATGTTGTTGAGGCTTTCAGCTGTTTTTCCTGACTATCTCCACTTTGGAGTCAAGTACTGTCAGCTGCTTTGTTCTGGAGATGCACCGGGGTAATCCATCACTGGGGACTCGTGGGCGGGTGATGTATTAGCCCGACATATCGACCTGTGTTCTTTGATGTATAACTCATCAAGATAATGTTGGCAAGCATTGTACAGAAGCAGTGTGTTTAAAAAGTATTAAGATGAATGGATTCCTTGCTTAAGAAGTGTGAAAGGAAGAATAATAGCAGATTAGCTCCGGGATGCCGCAGCTCTCCCGGAGCCATGCGGCGTTGTGCGGTGCAGAGGGACGGATGGAATTTCATCTTTCCTCCTGCTTCCAACAGCAAAGTGTCTGGCCCTGGTTTTCCCATTGTCAGGCAACAAAAGTCGCATTAAGTATTATTTTGTGATAATGTATTTTGTCACTTTCAGCAGCAGTTTGGCCAGACCTGAAACATTATGGGGTAGCTGAATTTTTTAAGTGTTTGGGGTTTTTTTTGTGTGTGTTTTTTATTCTTTTACTTTATGAGGTTAACTTGTTCTTGTAAGAGAAGCCCTGATTTTTATCTCTTGGAGACATGCTGTGGCTGGTAGTATTTAAAAACCGTTTTAGAAGTGGTGTTACGACTGAAACACCATTGGTTTTTAGTTCATTCTTTCATGATCTTAAAAGCCATGAATGGAAGAGACATGCTGGCACACCCCAGGCATCTCCTTGTCTGCAGAATCGCCTCGGTCATTACCTGTTCTAGCGCTGTTCGTGGTTCATTACAGGCATTTTGCAGGCTGCCATCGCTTGGGTGATGAATTTATTTAGAATAACCCGTATGCCCGGATGTTATTTTAGCCCACATGCCCTAAAAGGATTAGGTTGAAAGTGTCTGCCTAATATGTGTGTTACAGAAGTATCAGAATACCTTATGATATTTAGTACATCACAGTCTCTTTTAATACTTTGTAATGGCTTCTGGAAAATGCTCACATCCTTTCTTTCTCTCTTTTCATTTTTCCAAGGAAAAATCTGAGAAAGTTCTCGTTAGGGGCTGAGGGGCTGCAGGACTCTGTTATTAATATAGCGAAAACCAAGATTGTGTTGGGGCTTACTGTGGTAACTACTTGCCCCACTTTCATCAAGAAATGTGTGATGGTCTGATAAACTCTGCCCACCGCTGCAGTCTTGACAATGATCTTGCACTGCAGACTGCTTAATAATTTTCATTATTTTTAATTAAAGTTGAAGAAGTGCAGGCTCCTGCTCAAATTAAGGTTGGTTGTGTTGCCGGAATGTGGTAATTACTTTAATTGATCACAAGATAGTTTCCTTGATCACCAATTAGACCAAATTACCGATCAAGTTTCAAGACGTGAAGAAATGTCCAAACTGATTTTATGTAACAGTGTTTTCATATCTAATCAAACCTAAATATCTTTTCCTTCCAGAGCCGATTGTATTTTGCCAAAGAAAGGTTACGGCTCTACAAATATAGAGGTGATTCATAAACAATAGCGTCCCAATTGATTTAATTAGCAAAGGAAGCATTTAGGACCTTAATGGAGATTGCGCTGGCGAAATTGCTCGGTAGAACTGTAGCTCATTTTCTTAGTGGGAGATACTTTTTTGCGTATAATTAAAATAAACGAAAACGCAAGGAGTAAGTCGCTTTGGGTAATGCGCAACGGGGGAGAGCGTCTCTGAGCAGAGCAGGGCACGTCAGCGGGCAGGCATGCTTCGTCTCTCGCTGTAACACCGGGTTGTCCTGGCCAGGACAGTCGTGGTCAGCTGGAGCAATGAGCAGGTCTTGAGGAGGGTCCTCTGTGCCAGATTTAATTCTTTTTCATGGCTCGGACAGCCCCGGTTGAGCACTTTTTGAGAAGATCAGCAGTGTGGGGACCAATGACTGTTTTATCCAGCTGGAGACTTTTTACTGTCTGCGGGGAAAGAGGCAGTGGGGTGGCGTGATGGCTAAGTGATGGGGAGGGTTGGGTGATCCATTGATGGGGAGGATTTGGTGGCCCACTGATGGGGACGATTTGTCATCACCAAGCGTGACAGAAGGTCTGCAGAGCAGATTAATTAGTAGGCTCATTTACTTGCCTGGTTCTCTCTGTCTGCCTTCGCTGGAGCGATGGTTGTTGTCCCACAGTCAATGAATTGTGTTTGTGTAGCGTAACCCGTGTGTATACGCCCTGGGATGGGCAGCCAGACACCGGTAGCACATACTTGAACCTGGTAGGGTTTTCATAATTCAGTGTATTTTTTTCCCTTGCTCTTTGCACAGAGGCAGTCCAGTTGCATGGCTGTTGCAAGCTTTTGGGGACATTTCTGGGTATTGAGTGCTGTGTTGGAAATACCGTTCCTATTAAGCCCATGGACACGCTAAAAACACGTCGATCAAACATCTTTCAGGACTATTTGCAAATCGTTGCGAACATCTAATGCACGACTTGCAGCGCTGTGCTTCAAAGCGTGCTGCTGAAACATTTGCAAATTTTTAAAAGTAATTGTTCGCTCGACGTAAAACTAAACCAAGCGAGAACTTCAAGGGAAGTTAGATTTTTCCCAAATTTTGGAATGCTCCTGGGTCAAAGTAAAAAGCTTTTTAATTGCTGACAGTTTGGTGATTTCCAAATGACAAGCCTCATTGGAATGATTTTCTCTGATTATAACGTTTGCATTCATTTGACTGGCAAAGCGACTAACAAAGTCATACTTCATCCAGGCACCCATTCTTTCTTTTTCTTTTTTACTTGAAGGTTTTTGTAATTTGTGAGAGGAAAAAAGACTTGAAACTATTATCAACCATTATACGCTATTCATTGACCACATGTTTGTTTGAAACGGCCCTCGCTGGGTGGAATGCAGGCTATATACATTCTCTTCCATAAATTAGCAGTAAAAAAAAAAAGCCCTACCTAAATCAGGTAGGGTTTTCTTGAGCCTGTTGTATTATAATACGAACCAGACTGTAACGTGGATGTCGCTCTTGCTTTGCATGTTAATTCAGGACCTGAACCCTGACGGATGGAGCTCGGTATGAACAAAGCCCACTGACTCAAGGCGTCCCGCTCACGCACTGAGGCCCTTTGGGCTCCGTTGTGCAATTGCATTTTTGATTTACATGGACATTCTAATTTTCTTTAGAATGCAGTGATTTGCTCCTAAGTATTTTGGCAAGGGCCTGCTATTATTTTCTTCTTGAACCTGTGATAAAACCTGTGTCCTGCGGGAGCGTGCTGTGCAGAATAGAGGGGCAGAGGGTTGGGGAAACCTATTTTAACTCATTTTAAGGGAAAATATTTTCTCATAAAGCAGAGGGGCAAACCCACCTGCCGCCTGTCTCCCCCCCAGTAAATTAAATAGCAAAAAAGTTATGTGAAAGGTTGTGTTTCTGGAATTGTGTCCGTCTAGCACAGGAGTACTGTGGCATGATGCTTAATTAGAAGTGGCACGTTTCGGAGGTGCAGCAGGGGATGAGGGGTGTTGGGGTGGATGTTTAAAATCACTGTTGGGTGCCAAAGGTAAAACCATTGCTCTGATGCGATGGCTTTGCATCCTGGAGTAAGCGCGTTGAGCAGAGCGATTTACCGGGGTCCGAGGGGGACGATTTCAGGAGTGCTGGGAAATGCTTCGGTGGCACGAGAAGGTGAAATGCTCCTCCAACACACACAAACCCGAGGTGCGGTGATCTGGAGCATCTCTAGGCGTTGCTGAGATCCTGGGGTGAACCTCGCAGATCCGCTGCCGATCCTGGCAGGTGGAGGAGTATTTTCCTCTTTGCTCTTTCTCTCCTTAGGCTTTTGGATTTATGACGCGTGTTGCTCTACAGGCAGAGAAGATGAACCACCACCCGGAATGGTTTAACGTCTACAACAAGGTAACGTGTTCACTAGCCCTGGTTACAGGCGTGGCAAGGTCTAGAGGCCAAACCGCTGGCCCGTTCTCTGCCTTTTTGTGGCTTATATACCAGGGGGAGGTAGGGGAATGGAAAGACATTGTGTCTTTATAAAGATATTTGAGATTTTAAAGGCATATTGAGATTTTTGTAGTGGTCATACGGCCAGGAATCAAGCTCTTTGCAGTTGTTTGCTACCAGCTGCATGGTTTGGACCTGTCGCTTCACCTCTCTGGCTGAGATCTAAGAATAAAATAGAAACCTTTAAACCCTTGTTTGGCCAACCTGAATAAATGACTGTTCTGAAACTGCTGAGCGCTCACCAACTTTCTCTCCTTTCTATGCAAAAAGTCGGGAGCCCAGCGGTGTAGGGTAGCAGGCCGTCGACGTGTAGGTACCTAAATGGGGGCCTGGCAGTCTCAGTTTAGGTCTGATTTTTTAAAAAATTGTACCCTCCTGTGTCTCCACATAGCAGCTTATAAAATTTGTTTATAATATTACCCAACTGGTGGTGGTCTCATATTTACAAGGGTTACAAGGTACCCTGCAACCCCGCGAATGAAAGGTGCTGTGTGACGGAGGAAACTACTGCTCTGCCCTTATTTTTATTTTCTAATACTTCTCATTGTGTTGTGTCGAGTTGTTTGGGTTAGCATTTGATGAATATATGCCACTCCTGCTAAAAATACACTAACCCATGTGGACACGCAGCCTGTGGCTGGGAACCACCATCCCAGGGCAGGACGTCCCCACCTCTCCCCCCGCACAGAGGGATCCCAGCACAGGCTCCTCCTCATCAGCCCTTTAGGTCACCCTGTTTAAGGGGACGTTAAAAGATGAGCAGGCAAAGTCCTGATCACCTACACTCCATTATTTTCTTGGCTTTCCTGAATGTTCAGAATTTACCCCTTTTTTTTTTTTTTATTTCTCCCTTCCCAAAATCACAGTCAAACGTGAGACACAGTAACCCCCCGCTTGTCATCTGGCTCAGTCTAAACAAACCCGTGCAGGCAGCTGCGTCATAGCAAAATGCACCAGCCCGTTTGTTTTTCTTTTGGAAATTAATCTGCACCCAGCTCAACAATTTTTTCACCTTCAGGGTGCTGGTTTTTAACAAAACGCGTGAGCCCCTGCCTCGGCGGTTGGCAGCTTGGTCACTGGCCCAGGCTCTTGGTGAAACCGATCCGTGGAATTTAAATGTAAAGAATGAGTTATTCAGTCAGACACCTCTTCTTGGATGAATCCCAAGAATGCAAAGCCTGTTTTATTCTGCGAAGGGGCTCGCTTTGGTTAGACTTCAGGCTCTGTCAAGCCTCCTCACCTACAAGGTCTCCTGCTTTATGTGAGCGGTGAGCGTCCATCTTGCTGGGAACGTCGTGTAAAACCAGTTCACTGCAGAGACGTGGTGTTCCTAGTGAACTGCTGCTAGTCTGGGTGGCAGAGATGAAAATGTCTTTATAACCCCTCTCTTTTCCTTTTCAACAGGTTCAGATAACTCTGATTTCCCACGACTGCGGAGGGCTGACCAAGAGGGACGTGAAGCTGGCTCAGTTTATCGACAAAGCTGCTGCCTCAGTGTAACGAAGACGTGAAATGTTTTAATACAGTGTCCGCCAACGTTTTGTATTTAAATGGTATCCCTCATTCTTTGTAACCCTGATTTCACCAAACCCCTGAGACAAGAAATTTTGTAGGGAGAGTGGCTGAGCTTGCTTTGCCTTTTAGTCTGAGACCCCGCTTGGGTGCCTGTGCTTGTCCTTTGCCATTGCTGGCTCCACATGAGGGTGTAGCAGATAAACCAGTAAGAAATGAATTTGGAACAATCCTTTTCTAGAGGCTAAAATAAGCTGGAAGGAAAGCCGGACCCACTGCACATGTCAGTGTTTCCCGAGGCTGGTGGGAGCTGCCATGGGAGCCCG